GCCTCCATTGAAGCTCGTCTCGTCAAGCTTCAAGAAGATCTGACATCCGAGCGTTCTTTAATGGACGATCTGGCATTAAAAACAACGGCTCTTGAGGTCAAGACCACTCAACTCTCTCAATCTCAACAAGAGCTGGAAGATCTTCGCTCCGAACGGGAGGTGGTTAAGACGTGTGTTTCGGATGTCCACGCTGTCATCTCAAACATCCTGGAAGCACATGATCCAATATTAAACTTTTCGGTGAGGCGATCCCTTGCTGAAAAGCTCTCTCCAGCCATTGATCTACTAAACAAGGTCGAAGGCCTCCCAAGTTTCGTGTCCATTCCGAAACAAGGGGGAGATGAGAAGACAAGTTCAAAACCACCTCCTTCCTCAAAAGCTACTCATACAACTGAACCATCTTCAACTCATCAAATTTTAAGTTCAGGTATGAAGAACAAAGGTAAAGATATAGCTGAGGACGAAGATGAAGAAGGCGACAAGGAGACCATTGCCGACATTTTGAAACGAAAGAACAGTCGCAAGGTTGGTGATGATGCCAGTCGTGAGGCACGTGAGGCTGCCGAAGCCGAACGTAAGCAAAAAGAAGCCCACGATCTCCTTGAGAGCCGAAAGACTCTCTTCCCTGCCTGGACCAGGGAACGCTTGATCAAAGAGGCCATCGAAACTCCCAGCATCCTATGGCTCGAGCCGGTCATATCGTTCGACTGCAGCAATTCTGTCGATTCGCAGTTCGATATGCCGCTGACTCGAAAGGCGTTTATCTTTCACGTCTTCTCTAATATTTTTGATGTCCCTCACCCGAACGCTGAGCTTGACAGGGAGCTCATTGACTTTTACCTGAAGGCTGCTCGTCCTCAATTCCTTACATGGAGCGCTCAGAAGATTGTCAATGTTCGGGTGCTAAAGCCTTACACTGAGGGACGTTTTATAAACGTTCGGTTCAAACTGATTCGGGGATCTGCAAAATCTGTTCATCTCATCTCTCTAGCAGATCTACCGAATCTAAATCCTCATGATTGGATCGTCTTGTATAACATCCTTTTGACCAATGAAGCTGAATATGGTCCCATTCTAGACCATGTCAAAAGGATGTTAATCTGCTATATCATGGAGGTTGCCCTTATGGATCAGGAGGTCGCCACAGTCTTCAAGAAGAAACCCAAAATTGCTCCTGTGGGATCGGCCAGTGATCTAAATCAAATGCAGCTGGGCAAGATTGATCCGAGACGTAACACAGTTATGTTCACTAGAGCGGAAGGACAGAAATGTCTCTTCGCTTTAGCTGATAAGCATCTTTACACCACAACTTGCTTGGAGCATGTGCTTTTTATTGTTAAACGGTGTAAAGAGAATTCGGCTGATGATGTTAAATATTTTGAAGATATGATCAACTGGTACATCCGGTTTAGACAGACAATTCTTTCCATCACCAAGTGTCTGTTTAGTACCGTGAAGAAGGTACCAGTTTCGGCTGCTGGCCCAAGTAATAAATAAAGATCTCGCTCCAAATTGACGCAAAGGGGGAGATTGTTGGGCTTAGAAGATTGCGTCTTTTGGGCTCGTTTGTTTATAATTTTTTGTATTACGGTTTGGGCCTGTCCAACCGTGTGTCTTTTATGCTTTGTATATAAGCTTATGCTTGCATGCATATTAGGTTAAGGTTTTAGAGATCTGAGAATACGATATTTTCCAGACGACTAAAGGTTTCTTTGATCATACTTGTAACCTTCCAATCCTCTACAGTTGATGTTCTTAATCGAGCTCTTCTGAGGATTTTGTTTTAATCATTCGACACGTTTGATTCATTCTTGTTCTATAATTTTACTGTGTTTATATCGTCATTGTTTTCATAACTTGTTCAAGATCTATCGATCTTCATAGATTAAAAGAAACTTTAATCTCATTAATCACCTACCATACAACATCTCAAATGGGGGTTGATCGATACTGGCATGGTAACTGTTGTTGTATGAAAACTCTGCCAATGAGAGGTATGTATCCCAACTTTTTGGAAAGTCAAGCACCTCTCCACATACCATGTCGAATAGCACTTTATACATGGATACCGATAGTTAGGATGGAGATCTCTATACATCTTTTTCGCTTCGGGATGAATAGAGAATCTCGACTTGTGCGCCCCCTCCATCAATACTTTACATGCATCGCCTCAATATGGAACCCATACCATCCAATGAAGGGTTAATAATCCCCGAATATCATAATCAAAGGAAGAAACCTAACCCACTATACACTCACGCTTCCAGTGCTCTTCCTTCATAGCCTGAACCTGAGCCTCTCGAATCTGCTCTAAAAGTGGGGTAATCACTGTTATCCTCAAATACACATCCCTTATCGGGGCAACAACTGCCCTGCGGTTGAGAGAATCAGCTACAATGTTAGCCTTCCCCAGTGATAAAGGATCTCACAATTATTATCCTTCACCACATCTAACCATCTATGCTGCCCTATATTTAGATTCGACTGATCCATCAGATACCTCAAGCTCGCGTGATCCATGTAAATAGTATAGTGAAACCCATAATGGTAATGTCGCCAAATCTTGAGAGAGAACACCACATCCACCCAACTCCAAATCGTGCATAGGATAATTCTCCTCATGAGGCTTCAATTACCTTGAGGCGTAAGTGATAACATGACCCTACTGCATCAGCACTATACCCAAACCCGTGATCGATCCATCACAATATACCATAAAGTCCTCAACACCCTCCGATAGGGTTAGAATCGACATCTCACACAGTTTCTGACTCACAGTCTCAAAAGCTTCCTGTTGCTCAGTCCCCAAACAGAACATAACAATATTCTTCGTCAATCGGGTCAACGGAACTGCTATCTTGGAGAAATCCTAAATGAATCTCCGATAGTAACCTGCTAATCCAATGAAACTCCGAATCTTAGATGGAGACTTTGGAACTTCCCACATCATCACCGCCTCAATTTTGGATGAATCGACCAAAATATCATCTTGGTTGACAAGGTGTCATAAATACTGCACCTCATGTAACCAAAACTCACAGTTGGAGAACTTCGCATACAACCTCTCCCTCCTCAGAGTCTTGAATACCTCTCTCAGATGCTCTTCATGCTACTCCTGGGTCTTGGAATAAACTAGGATGTCATCAATAAACACAATCACTAACGGATCCAACATAGGCCTGCATACACGATTCATGAGATCCATGAATGCGGTTGGGGAATTGGTGAGCCCGAAGGGCATCACCTCAAACTCGTAATGATCATAATGAGTTCGGAATGTCGTCTTCTATGTATCCTCCTCTCTAACCCTCACTTGATGATAACCCGAACACAAATCAATCTTGGAAAAAAAAAAGATGAACCCTAAAGCTGGTCAAATAAACCGTTAATCCTTGAGAGCGGATAACGGTTCTTCACAGTTAGCTTATTCAGATCCTGGTAATCAATACACATCCGATGTGACCCATTATTCTTCTTCACAAACAAGATCGATACTCCCCATGGTGAACTACTTGGCCGAATAAATCTCTTGTCTAACACCTCCTACAGTCGTGTAGACAACTCTTGCATCTCTGGAGGTGCTAAACGATAAGGTGCTTTGGCTATCGGAGATACACCTGGAACCAAGTCAATCTGAAACTCCACCTCCCTCTCCGATGGCACTCTAGGAAAAATCCTCCAGGAATGTATCTGGGTATTCCTGAACAATCGGTACATCACCCACCGCCATCTTACCCTTCTCCCGGGTATCCATCACATAAGCCACAAACCCATAACAACCCTATTGAAGATAGCGACTAACCTTAGCTGTTGAATAGAGTGTCGACCCATGTTGAACACCATTTCCCTGAATCACTAAATCTCCCCCACTTAGGGTCTGTATATGCACCAACTGATGCTCTCAACCAATCTTTGCCCCCATTGAGGCTCAACCAATCCATCCCTACAATAACCTTGCTCTCATGAAAAGGAATAGGAGCCAAATCAATTGGGTACCACTCACTGAACAACTCCAATACATAACCTCGATGGACCCTCGATACCCGCACAGGACGATCATCAACAATCTCAACCTCTAATGGATAATCCAGCTCCCCCGAAGCATCGACAAACCTCTTGCTCAGTGCAAGAGCTACAAAGGATTAGGTAGCCGCCGAATCAAACAAAACCTAGGCAGAGATACCATTCCCATGGAACGAACCTAAAAGAAAAACACAAATATAAGCAGAAAAATCAACATAAATAAAGAGATAAGGAGAAGATACATACCCATCACCACATCTGGTGCTGCACGAGTCTCATCGGCTGTCTTGCCGCACATGTAGCAGCCCGATCCACCAACCCTACAAGCTCTGTCGTGTGTCTTCCCATACTTTCCACAACAACCTTAATTCTATTGGCCTCTCGATCTCGAATAAAAAACCTTGGGCCTCTTGCTCGAACCCTCAGAACCCTGAACCTGATCTGGCTTTCTACTCTTCTCCATCTCCAAGTCAATCTGTATATACTCACAAACTATCTGATATTGCTCCTCAGCATATTGTGATATATCGCATTCTTTATCTCCTTGTCCGCCACATATTGCGGGACCAATAATGGCCTACCATTTGATTTTCATATTTATGGATTTTTTTTCTTTCTATTTAATTTTTTTAGAAAGTGCAATGCATTTTTTTTTTTGCATTTTACAAAAACACCAAGAAAAATGAAAGTATAGCTACCTTATTTTCCCAAATGTTTTTGGTTGTAAATAAAACTTTTTTCAAAATTTTATCTAACTCGAGCAAAATCCGAGATTCTTTACATAGTTTTAATCAACTCAACCTCCTCAAATGGCTATTATTGTCATTATGAGATATTGAAATATAATCTCTTTTGGTGTGCCTTTTCATGCTAAAATGCAAAATGTAAATAGAATGATCTTTTTGCATATATTTTTCCATGATTTACGATAAAAAAAAAAAATCAAAATTATATTTTTCGTTCAAAAGAGGCATATAATGTAACCGAAACTATTCTCGAGGGGTATTGGAGTACTTTATGTAAGTTGAGAAAGTAGATATAGCAAACATTGACAGTCGATTAGCAAGATTCAAGAACCACTCCGGATAAGATAAATCAGACCATAAAGAGATTATCAATGGCTTCTCTGGCATCAAATTTGTCATGGAATTCGTCTTCATGGCTTAATAACCGCACCCTAACAAGGAGCACCAACGAAGGCATCAAAATTTCCGATAAAAGCTCAGATTTTGTAATTTTGGCTCAAAAGAAAGCGAAGAAAACTCGAAAGGTGCTAAGGAATTATGCACATTTCGATTCTATGTAGGCCATTTTGTTTGACATTTTTATTAATTGGTCTTTTTGTTCTTGGCTTGTAGATAATACTGATTGAGGATGTTACTGATGTGGGGAAGAAAGGGCAGCTTTTGGATGTCAAAGCTGGGTTTTACCGAAACTTTCTGCATCCTTCCGGAAAAGCGCGGATTGTTACTCCCATTCTTCTCAAGTAATGCGTAATTGAGTTGATTTTAGTTTGTTTCTTTTCTTCATAATGTTAATTACGTTACAGATAACCAAAATGTTAGCTGCTTTTAAAGTTTTTATGGCCAATTAGTCATCTTTATGAAGCCTGCCAACTGTTTGTGAAAATGTCACTGAGAATGTTAGTAATGTCCTTTACAATTTTGTGGTTTTGACACTTGAAAAGAATGTTAGGGTTAGGCTGTGAAAGAATAGGTGAAGATACCCTTTGTGATTATTATTTTTTTTTTTGTTCAGGGAAATGAAGGTTGAAGAAGAGAGAATTGAGGCTGAAAAGAAACGGGTATTCACAGGCTTCTTTGATTCAATACCCTTATTCTTGATAATCCATGAGTCTTTATTTATAATGTTGTTATCATTTTATTTATATTAAGTTAAAAAATTTCATAGGTAAAAGAAGAGGCACTACAACTTGCTAGAATTTTTGAAACTGTTGGAGCATTCAAAGTGAAACGTAAGGGAGGGAAAGGAAAGCAAATTTTTGGAAGGTGTGTACTAAATTTGAACATAACTTATTTAATAGTTTTTTCTTATAAACTTATTTCTAATTTTTATAAAACATGTTGCTAAATGCTAATGAATTTTATTGCTTGCAGTGTTACTGCTCAAGATCTTGTTGACATAATTAAGGCACAACTTCAAAGGTAATCTTCTACCCAATCATAAACATAAACCAATTTTCACTGCTATGAGTTTTATGTTTTCAGCTTTTCTTGAATGATGGGTTCTTTTAAATCTCATTTTTTTTTTAATAATTTTTAATCTTCTTTCATGTAGAGATATTGATAAAAGAATTGTCACTTTACCCGAGATCCGAGAAACAGGAGAATATATTGCAGAGTTGAAGCTTCATCCTGATGTTACTGCTCAAGTCAGGTTGAATGTATTTGCCAATTAACAAAACGGCAATCAATTTCTTTAAATAGGGCGTATTTCAAGGTATGTTAATTAATCTTTCCATTTTAGTTTAAAATTTTGTAAAATTTATTTACAAATGGTTATTTTGTCAATAGACCATAGCGGTCTACATGTTTCTAGGACCGTATTGATAACATAGGCCAATACTGGATAATCTTTTTAGGGCTATTTTCAATGATGAGGATGAGGAGGGCATTTTCGTCTTTTTTACATATGAGAGATCAAGAGCGAGTCCGTGTCCCACCCTATTTCACCTTTTTGGTTGAAAAAAAAAATTTGCAACTTTTGTTTCGCAGTCACAATCACAGTCAGTTAACTATTTTATTTTTTATTGTTATTTGCAGGATGAAAACTTTGAGTAGTTTTAGAATCGCAAATAGAGCTGCCCAAGTTTCAAGAACATATATTTATTTTTTCTTTTGTTGTGTTTTATATGCTCGCAATATAACATTGGTATGAACACATGCTTGCTATTATTTGTTGATATTTTGGATTGTTCATTTCCAATGAAATTTCGTGAAACATTTCTACATTTATGGAGCTTTCTTTTTCGGTAAAAAATATATGGAAATGCCACAAACAAGTTTGGTGCGTTTTAAGAAGTATAAAGGTAAAAATTATGAAGGAATCGAACGGTTTATATTTAGTAGTAGTAGGCGCAATATAGCAAAGTAGATGAGTTTGACAAAAACGGATGTAATGAATTAACAAGTGTAATTTAATGTATACGAGCTTTTAAAACCCTTTATTTCCTTTATTAAATTATTATGGTAATAGTTGAGTTGTTATTACATTTAACATGTAAGATATGGGTAGGTTCGATTATGGATTGTAATTATTGTATGATTATTGACAAAATAAGGACCCTTGGATTGAAAATATTATTGGTTAAGATCGGTTATGGCATGGTTGTAATAAAAGGTGAATTCTTTAATCATTGTTTAAAGGGAACTGATTTGTACACAACACTTTTTCTCCGCACACAACAATTTGTGCTTTAAAGTGTTGTATTGTACAACTCTATAATGCATAAATTGTTGTGTACGGTAAAAAATTGTTGTGTATGAATCACTTCCCTTGTTTAAATAGAAACCGTTCAAAAGAGCAATATGAAGTTTCTGCGCATATTAGAATTCGGAAGTGTTATTTATTTTCGTGAAATCTTCATAAATTGTAGGAATTTCAAACTCATTCTCACATTGAAAATCATTTAACCAATTTTTTGTTTACAAATCAAGAGCACATCACTAGGTAGAATAGTAAGAATGGAGCGACAGATCAGGTACCAGACTACGTGAAAATTTCATATCCAAGTTAAATGATTACAACTGGAATATTAACATTAAAAAAAAAAACAAGAATGATGCATTATAAGTTTTCGAAATTGAAAGTAGCTTACATGTCTTATACAAATGTTGATTCTTATGTATGGTTTCTTAATTCTTGATTCTAGAAGAATTTAGATAAGATTTTGCATTTATTCTTGATTATTGATTTGTGATTCTTGAATATTGATTATGCTTCTTTATGTTATAATTTACAAGAATGTTAACATCGCATCAGTAAAATTTAGATCCCAAATCAAAGTTGCCTTAACTGAAAGTAACGGACGTACCTTATACAATTGTTGATTCTCCAATCTCGATTCTCAAGTCTTAAAAAATGTTATATAAGACTTGATTTGATTCTTGATTCTTTATTCTTGAATAATGTTAGATAAGACTTTGCCTTAATTCTTGAATAATACGGAGTATTAGACAATACTTTTTTACATTGATTCTTGATTTTCGATGTTGGCTATTTTATCCGTTTAGTTGTCTCTCTTATTATTATTATTATTATTATTATTATTATTATTATTATTATTTAAACAATCGATCCATAAATTTACATATTAAATAGATGAACCATCGAATATAAATCCAGTTTCACCGTTAAGATTTAGTTCATACTTTTCTTATTTTTTACAAAATTAAAAATCAAAACTTTATGTATGGGATTTTTTTTCTTTCCATTTCCTCTTGTTGTTTGATCTCTCTCTCTCTCTCTCTCCATGTGTTTTTCTTCCTCCTCATGAACAAATACCCACGTGAATTCAGATTTTAATTACAAACAACCAAATGAAAGTCTTCATCAAAGCTCTACAAGCATAATTCCACTCATGCCCTTTGCATGAGCCAACTCTTAATCGAATGGTTTCAGAAATTTTTGGTTTCATAACTCATAAGGGTTTATCTCAATCGATTGTTTCAAAAGTCGATGGGTTCTTGTTCATCAATGGTTTCCAAAATCGATCGACTATGGAACTTAGCATCGGTGGATCTAGAGAAAAAGGAGTAGTCGCCTTAGATGGATAATTGATTTACCCATCTTCGTTAATCATATCTGATTCTTATTGTTCAAGATGAAATAAATAATCACTTCGAAACCATATATTCAAACATGCATTACCTAATGCTACCTGATTGTGGGTTGATATAAAGTTCAAATCTGAACCCATTTCCGACATCATCATCTTCGGAGTATCTGGTTTCATATGCAAACATGTTGTTAAAGAAGCCTTCAAGTTTCTTGATTCACCAAACTCGCCTCTTCAAAACCCTCGCTCTTGTCGGTCGGATCACTTCTAACCTCTCCTAAACCTTAAAATGGGCTTCCATATCTCACTCCGTTGTCTCCTTACTCGTTGCTGACACATATGATCTACCATCTCCTTGTCAGATGGCTTCGAAGAAAAGCTTGTCCTCGATTGTGTTGTCCCTTTTCACATTTGTGAGCTTGTCATCATTGCATATGTTGAAGATGGGTGCGATTACCTGGAGTTTTCAGGTAAGACAAAGTTCATGGAGAGTATGGAAGCCATTTACCATGAGAAAACGGTGGAGAAAGGTAGCTTAGTGATCTCGACTTGTGGTTTGATTTGATTGCGACATAAATAGGGTTGATGTTTAACTCCAGACAATGGGTTTTGCCAACAGTTCCCAATCAACTGAAGCCTAACTCTTGAATCAGATGAACTGAAGCAAAAGTTCTTGAGTCAGTGTCTGTTGTTTACTGATACAAAAGTTAGGTGACCCTTAAAATATATGGAAAATGACACAACGACCTTAATATGTACTTTGCATTTACCCTTTCAGACTCTAAAGTTTATTTCGTGCCCATTAAAGGAACAAAGTTGATGTCGACCTGCTTTTTTGGTCACTACGACCTAATATATCAGGTTAAATAAGCCGCACAAACACTTAAATCTGATATGGCTTATGATTTGGAAAAAATTTAGTACAAAAAAGAATAATAAAAATTGGGTCCTACCATATCTCCCCCATCTCTCTCTCACCCTTTCTCTCCCCCATCTCTCTCTCTCTCTCTCTCTCTCTCTTTTAAAAAATTCTTTTGGGTTTTTTTGATTCGTCTCTTTCACCTACTACCCTTAGAACCAAACTCAATTAATTTCATCTTAGTTCTCCAAGGTTCATTTAATGGTAGATTCAATAAATACCAAAAGTCTCTTTTACCCTTTCACCCCTACACCTTCAGTTTTAACCTACAAAGCTCTCCGCCCACACTAAACTCATCCATGGCTCCACAATATCTCGGAACCTCGCTCGGGCAGTTGAAGCAATTACAACAGAACACAACTAGAGTATGAGGTTTCAACTCTTCTCTTCAATTTCTATCTAATAATGATTTCCTAATTGTCTGCAAATTAAGGCTCCAAAATAAAAATCAATATGAAATTTGTTTCTAATTTTACACAAATCTTGAATTTGAAGTTCCAAAGCCTTTGATTTGTACATTACTTACTATCCGTCTACTACATAGATTATGAAATTTTAGTTTAAAGGACAGAATCAGAGTTATTGATGCTTTTTGAGTTGAATTAGGTGACATTGTATAACATGGGAGTGGTGGTGAAGACGATGGAGAAACCAAGGTTAGTGTTGAATTCCTTACTATTTTTGGCCAAAGAAAGATGCTTGGAAGAGCTTAGGATCATGCTCGATAGTAAGCCATGGATCCTTCCGGTACCAGAAAAACCACCTGACTCTCTGCTCTCACCGGAAAGATAACCGGATGCACCATGCCGGGATGATTCTAGTCAACGGAAAGAACGAATCCATTCATTCTTACAAGAAAATCATTGGTTTTGTTTCTCAAAATGACATCGTTCATGGCGATTTAACAGTGGAAAAGAATCTTCGTTTCAATGGTCGCTGTAGGTATGCATTCTTATAGCGAGAATCAGAAAACTACTTAATTAAGAGAGAAGAGAAGAAGGAGAAAGGAGGAATTT